TAACCCAGTATGCATAATCCTCGAGTTACAACCACAATTGAACCCAAATTTTCTGTTGCTAAGTGAAATGTTTGTTAAGTGAGGTTGCCTTATTTTATGACTTTTCTTGCCACAGTTAAGTGAAACAATACAATACAATACAATACAATACAATACAATACAATAGCAGAGTTGGAAGGGAACTTTGAGGTCTTCTAATCCAACCCCCTGCCTAGGCAGGAAACCCTATACTGTTCCAGACAAATGGCTACCCAACATCTCATTGCATTTGTGAAGTTAGTTAATACACGGTTGATAAGGGAATCTGGATTCTGCATTGATTTTGTTTGTCAGAAGGTGGCAAAAACTGATCACATGACCCCAGGGCACTGCAACCGTCATAAATACGAACCACTTGCCAAGCAATCTGAATTTTGATCATGTGACCATAGGATGCTGCCGTGTAAAAAATGGTCAAAAGTCCCATTTTTCAGTGCCATTGTAACATTGAACAGTCACTACATGAGCTGCTGTAAGTCAAGGACTCCCTGTAATATGAATTAAATGTACATAAGATTATGCACCCATGATGCAATACATGCTCGACCCCCATGCGACCCATCCCCCACATGTGACCCTCCTTGTGTGCCCTGCCCCTGTGGATAAATGCGTAACCCCCCATGCTTTCTCCATCCCCTGTGCATGCGTATGCAAACCCCACATCCACCATGTCCCATGCATGTGTACATGACCCACACGTGCTACGCCCCTGCATATGAACGTGCAAGCCCCCACATGCACATGTGAACCCCCTCTCCTCCCGCACATGCATGCACATCTCCCGCATGCACCACACACCCCTGTGCATGCGTGGCAGAGACCCAAAAATCAGCTGGCTAGCGAGAGGCACGTATGCATGCGCGGTGGAGCTGAGCTGGGGGGGAGGCTCACGTGCCCATAGAGATGGTCATAGGTTGGCCATCACAATCCTAGGCACTGTGCTTTGATGGAAGCTCAGGCTGAAAAGCATCATCTCCAGAGGGAGAGTGGAGCATGGTATTGTTGGAGTAGCACTCTGAGATCAGAGGTCTCAGCCCCACTAAGTGGGATCATCTACTTTAAATTTACACTGTCACACTTGCAACTATCTAATAAGTATGATAGACCATTGCATCTAGAATTAATATTAACTTGATTGAACTAGAACATGAATTATGCCTATGACCCACCAGGACAGGCAGTAGAAACGCTGTTGCCACTGCTATTGCTTTGTTTGGATGGTTGCCTCTATTTGAAGAATTGTCCTTTTCCAAGTTAAAGAGTCATAAAAAAGAAGAGAAGGAGAGGAGAGCCTAAACTTGGCAAAAACACCATCTAGAATTCAAGGTGAATCACAGGTTGTTTAGTTGCAATCTTTCCTCCAATGGGGAAAATGCTTTGAATGTTTATGTATAGTATACTAATTGCAGGTAGAGATGCAAATGTATACATAAATTAGAATACACACATTTTTAATGAAAATCTATTTTTTGGTCTTGTTGTCAGGGTTCCAAAAAGCACCCC